AAACTCAGCTAACTGGTTTATTTCTCAAACAGCCTTTAAGTACCCACGGAGCTTTTTCCCAACCACACTCTACAGATAAACTCCTTTGTTGCAGACATTTCAAACCGAATGGATACAAAAGATACAAAGCAACCCACACATGGGACGAGGACTTAACAATGGGACACTGCGGATCATCGCAGTGACCTTGACAGAGATATGTCCCGATTTATCCTAACAGTCGCGTCAAAGCGCACAAAAAAACAAAAACAAAAAAAAAACACACACTGGTGGTCTCTAAACCGTGGCAACGCACCCAGACAAAAAAAAAAAAAAAAAAAAAAACCCACAACTAACATTTTTTTTTCCCCTCTCCTTTCTTTGGGAAAACACACCCAAGTGATCTCGAAATCGCGATCACAAACACATTAAAAAAAAAAAAAAATTTTAGATGTATATACACATATACATTGTCTCTCCCCCACCTTCTTCTCGTAAACCGAATGCGTTCGTTCAAAGTCTGAGAAACTTTTTGGAGTTGCGTCCAAGTTGCATCGATGCTTGGCTTATGCAGTTTCCGATAGAACTTATTCTTTGATATTGTAGTGAGTGCGCAGGCGAGCTGGTGGAAATTAACCATTCTGATGTTAGCCTGAGACTGAGGCAGGAAAAGAGGAAGTTTCAAAGTAGAAGAAAAAGGAACAGTCGAGGATACGTCTCTAACACAGCTAAAGACAAGTTTATTCGGTCACCCTCTTATATACACTCCACAATCTTCACCACAGAACCTTAGGATTGTCAAGGTCGTTTGATTATTGTGGTGGAAAGAGATGAGTTCTTTGTTATCTTTTGGCTTTGGAGGTCGCGAAGGTTCTGTATCCTCGACTGTTCCTTTTTCTTCTACTTTGAAACTTCCTCTTTTCCTGCCTCAGTCTCAGGCTAACATCAGAATGGTAGAACTTATTCTTATTGTTTCTTTAACGACCCTCTTAATGTCATTTCGCTCATTATGCAGAACTTCTGTCTCTGACCAATGCGCATTACAATTATTGCATTCCTCTATGTGCTTTGCTATTTCGGAGTTCGGCGCATGCGTGCGTACATTCCTCTGGTGTTCTAGTAACCTGTCATTAAGGCATCTTGAAGTTTGTCCCACGTACTTAAATCCACATGTCAACGGAATCTCATATACTACACTCTCTTTGCAAGGAACTGAAGGTTCCCGATGGGCCTTCTGACAACCCTTGTGGTCCGACAGAAAGGGCGTCAACCTGCTCAATTTTAAATCTGAAGAAAAAACTACGTCCACGCCGAACTTTTTTGCGAGAGCCTTTAGGTTGTGGGAAATCCCGTGGAAATACGGGATTACTGCTATCTTCTTTCTTGCTTCCTTTTCCCGTGGTTCGTTGTTAAATTTCAGTTCTAATTGTCTTTTAATGAATTCTTCTTCATAACCGGCAGATTCTAGCCTCCTCCACTGTTCTTTCACAGCACTACTCATAAAATGAGCGCATGATTTACCCAACGCGTTTGTTACTAAGGACTTAACTACCCCTGCTTTAACCGACTTGGCGTGACAACTCTTTCTACTTAACACAGGTTTTCCGGCTTTTTTCCCGTATTCTCAACAAAGACCTTCTTCGACATGTACGCGTAAATCTAGAAACTGCAGGATCCCATTTTCAGTTGTAAACCTAAGCTCCGGAGCTGCTGTTTTTATAATCGATTCCAAAACCTGAGCCTCATTCTTTCGAAAAGCGCAAATAAAAATATCATCCACGTACCTTTTAACAATGCACCCATTCAAGTTATTTTCTTTAAGTGTTTCACTTACGCTACTATCTAAGGTGTTAAGATAGATTTCTGCTAACATCGGAGCCACCGAAGATCCAATGCATACACCATCTTTTTGAACATATTTCTGCCCATTATATTCAACAACTGTTGCTTGAAGGTACAAATCAAGAAGTGAAAGGAAACTGTCGACGGCGATGCCCGTCCTGGACTGAAAGTTTACCAGGTTTAACTCTAGCACTTGCCGAACTCTTTGCATCAAGCGCACTTTCTCAAGCGAATAGTATAGATCCTTAATGTCCATTGACATTACAGTGCATTGTCTTCCATGAAAGCCCTCTAGAACATCAATTAATGCCTCTGAATTTCTCAGTGAAAGACTCCCCTCCAGTTGAATTACATTCAACCCTCTTTGCAAAAATTTCGAGACGCTACACTGCCACGTTCCGAGTTCGTTGATTACTGTGCGAAAAGGCATATCCAGTTTGTGATCTTTCAAAAAAAACTTTAGACTTAACGAAGACCTTGTTTGGTTAACTACTTGTTTTGCCAAATTATCCATCTCATCTTCCTTGAAGATTTCAACAATATTCTTCTTAATTTTCTTAATGTTCCCTTTCCATTCAATGAAGAGTGCGCCGAGGGCTTCGTCTGCCTTTCTTCTGAACACTGTCTCGCTTTTTGTGCGCTTTGACGCGACTGTTAGGATAATTCGGGACATATCTCTGTCAAGGTCACTGCGATGATCCGCAGTGTCCCATTGTTAAGTCCTCGTCCCATGTGTGGGTTGTTTTGTATCTTTTGTATCCATTCGGTTTGAAATGTCTGCAACAAAGGAGTTTATCTGTAGAGTGTGGTTGGGAAAAAGTTCCGTGGGTACTTAAAGGCTGTTTGAGAAATAAACCAGTTAGCTGAGTTTGAGACGCTCTCTGTGTCTGTTCCTTCTACTGAAAGCTCTTCCGATTTCTTCCACCGCAGTCTCAGGTGTAATACGACATGATTAGCTACCACCAGCTCGCCTGCACTCTAACCGTCTTTTCCCGAATATTTTGGGCATCGCTTTTAGTGCGAGACTTGTGACTAGAACCGATCTCATAATCAGTATTGACGCAGCATTCGTGTCTAATACATTTAGACTCGCATCCGCGACAAACAATGGCGTAGCCCTCTTGCTCCCTAGACACTTGGCCAAAATAAGGCGGCCTCGAAGACTAGCGGCACCATGGGTTGCACTTTTAAAAAGGCTGCATTCAAGTTTCTATTATTTTCTAAATCTACCAAGGAAATCCAAGGCGAACATTTCCTTAGGAAAGTTAAACAATTCAAAAGTTGCGAGCGAGTGTGAATAAATAAAGCTGAGAGGGAATGGTTTCTTTAGTGCAGCTTGCGAGCGCTGTACTCGTGGTCAGCTTTCAGTGGCATTTTCGACAGGAGGGCGCGTGCACAGGTATAATAGGCGTTCAAGCACGCGCACCCGTACATCTGACTGCATAGCCATAGAACGTCCACAAAAACGCGACGACTTTACCGACGCCGTGCTGGTGGCAAAGTGATACTCGTTCACTTTGTTTGATTATGCTGTTTTGTGTTACATAGAACTCAAATCGAATGGTTTACTTTTCACGCGCGGGGCATACGCTTTACTTCTTGATTCGACCTATTTCAAGCTGGGGTCACGGTGAAAAACATCGACGCGTATTGAGAAAGTGCAGCCATCTTGAGATCTAAGCGATCACGCTAAGGACGCTGAGCGCAGTCCGCTCTACAACTTGTGAAGCGGAGCGCACGCTCACTCCGCTAACTATACGCTCCAACTCAGAGCGGGCCACGCATGCGCGGTGGGGACGATGCTTCTCGCAGAGCGTAAAGTAGAGCAAAGAGGGCTCATAAAGGTGGCCTACTAATACTCACAGATTACGAACGCGCACGTCGTGACTTGTCCTGACACTGCCCATGTACACCTTTGGTGTATAGAAAAAAGTAACTTTTCACCAGACAGAGCAGCCGTGCTAGAAACAATGGAAATGCGAAATTTACACAAACCATGCAGGGTCTTACCTGTGAGCACAGCTCCAGTTTTGCCAAGGTCAACCACCTATGTTTGTTTATGTCAGCGAGCAGGTGGCCGAACCTCTTGTTGATGTGACCGACGATGAGGTTCACAAATATGCAGAACACCGACAAGTTCCGTCCAAACGCTCATCCAAGTACGAACAGACGGTTGGGATAGGCCAGTCGAGGAAGAACCATGGAAAGCGTCTCGCTATCGCGTGCCGGTATTTGGAGGCCCGCTTGCAGAGCAGCCAGGTCATTCTTTAAGCGGGATAGCCTCCTAAAGGGTTTCTCTTCTACGTTGGAAAGATCCAGCAAACCGCGTTCGGAAAGGAAGCTTCGGCGCTTGATGGCACGAGGGATAGGAATCATAGATTCGATGTCTCGCCAGCTTAATCTAGTTAGCAGAAGTCTCCTTCCTTGAGAACAGCGGGGATTCATCGTGCTGATGCATTGCTAGCCTTGTGCAACACTATACTCGTACTTCGCAAAAGAATGTACTCGCAATGCGCAAACTTCGTCCTTTCCTTTCGTTTTTCTACTTCGAATAAGTAACTCTGTTTCATTTTTAATTCGAGTGGAGCAGAAGCTACAAGAGCGACTGCCGGCCTTTCAGCGTCCTTGGCCAGCACGCGCGCTCGTGCAGTGCAGGTACCGTTTAGAGCAACATGCTCATGCTTATACCTTCGGCTTCACTTGCACACAAGGTGGAAAGATTGCATTTATATTTTATGGCTTAATATATCTCCGGGTGTGTGCCTACTCTTCTGTGTTTATTATTGTCGCCTTCGTTCTTACTACCTCTACAATCACGCAAACGTTTACTCTCTTGGTGTTAACGCTTAGGTTTTTTTTGTCTTACTAGTACTATAAACATCCACTTGGGGGGCTACGCAAGCAAATTTTTCGAACCCGCTCAAAACGCTCGTACGCTAAAGAAAAACGCTCTACTAAAACGTGTTTTTTGACCTCCGCTTTCCATTCCGGCGAAGCGGGCCGCGCATGCGCAGTTTGGCACCCTCAGAGCGGAGCGGAAGATGAAAACGGTCTACTAAAACTCTCTAATATTCACAGGTTAGCTTAGGGCCTGATTTTTATGAAGTGATGATGGTGGCAAGTGGCGCAGCATAATCCAAGTTGAAATAAGCCGAAAATACGTGAGAAAGCGTTGTTTCATGTCATGCAAACGCGTTTATTATTTCATTGGGCGGTGCCACAAGCATTTGCTGATAACAAATGTAGCCTCAAACGGCAAAATAACCGCCGAACTTGTCTCTTTTTTTCAGGGAATTGGGTATCGAGTGTCACATGTGGACGGCTCTCGTTCACTGAAGTCGGTTGCGGAGAATCTGAAGAAGCGTCTTCTCCAGCAGGGCGGGTCTATCAAGCCTCGCCTGGGCCAGCATTGCACCGGCGTCGTCCTCTGCCGCTGATTTCCTCAGCATCTGCATCACGTCAGAGGACACGGTACCTTCCTCGGACCGCTTGCCGTGGCCTGCGAAAATTGTCACTTGCTCAGTCTAGATATCAGGAAGGAAAGGAACTTATACAAGCTCTATCATGTTGACGAAGACCGGGAAGCACAGAATGTATTGAGCGCAAACTACCAGCTCGCAGAAATTGACGCCACGTCATCGGCCTCTAGGAAGCAACGCCGGTTCGCGGCAGTGTGGCTGTCTCGTGGACTTACTTAGTGCTGAATGCGACTTGGCGGAGAGCGCTAACGTGTCTACTACGTTGTATATGTTAACCTCCACAGTGCTTCCGCAATATCGCCGTTCTTTGTTGAGGTTAGGTAGGGGCTTGATCTGAGGATGCAAAACCTCTGCCAAGCCGACCACTTCACTACCCCCCCCCCCCCCCTCCCTCCCTTTCCGGCGGCTTACGACGGAGCGCTTTGTGATCTGTTACGACGACATAACACACTGGTGTCATCTACCGGGTAGTCGTGGAACAATCGTAATTTCCGTATATTTGTTTTTCTTTGCACATTATTTTTTTTTCTTCACAAACATTTTGACGACATCAAAAACGACAATTTCTTGTAGATAGTACGCATTTGATTTCGTAAATACTCCAAGACTGCAAAAACCTCCACTCTAGTAAAAGACAGTTCTAGTGCCACCACATAGATGGCGCCAGCGTATCAGTGTGTTCTTTCGTCGTAAGCGACCACAAGAACTGGGTCGTAAAGAGTCGTAAGTGTGTGAATCAGCCTTCACGCTACTTTGCTCGATCACGCGCGTTCCGTCATTTTAAAGTGGCTTTGCTTTATTGTCACGAGCCATCTTAACCTAATAAAACAACGAACGTGAGATCTACACTGTCTGCTGTTCACCAAAGAGCGGGTCGTTCATATAGACCAATCAGGGTGCTAAAATTTACTCCACCGGCTTTCCCGAATGGGCCGCCGGCGTGGGCCTTCGTGATAATGTGGATGATTGGGCTAGTTGGTATTTCATGCTTGGATGGAACAGCGTGGATGAACAGTCACACTCACAGGCACACAAGAAGGAAACAGACTCGCAGCGCAGTTTCCTGTGTGCCTGTGAGTGTGACTGTTCATCAGCGCTGTTCCATCCAGGCCTTCGTGATTTTTTTTTTCCCCTTTATTTCTTCTTGCTCATTTTCTACGTCCCTTTCGCCCGTATTTCTTGCACGCGTGCTTTGGGCACGTTTTGCATTCTGAATTTAAGACTGGTGTTCACTGAAAATGCCTACATGGAGATGGGAAATCTATATTTCTGTTGTACGGGGCCGACAGTATCCAAGGTACCGTCGGCCCCACATACACAGGCTGACAGCATCCAAGATAAATAGCTAGAAGTAAAAAATACGCAGTCTTTGAACGAAATATCGAGGCCTATCAATCACCACTCCTGCCCGTTTCGATCTGGATGAGCATCGTACCGGCGTGCGGTCGTGTATCTCTACTGCGTGGTGCACGTTAAAGGCCCCAGGCTAGCGGCTGTACTGCACTGGCTAAATTGGTCATCTACAGCTGAGAGACTCGTCGCCCATTGAGGCAGACCAAGTTCTAGGCTGTATAAACATACACACAACCCAATTTTTTTATCAAGGCCTACTTAGTATGAGCATAAACATGTAAGAATATATATCTAATAAATTCGACAGATTTTTGTTTCTCTTTTTTCTAATATTCACTTTTGAAACGTGGTAAAGGTGGGCGGATATTCGAAACTTCGAACGATTCCCGAATAGTGTTTGCTATTCGATAAAATTTTCAGCAGTCTTTTGTCTGTTTCGAGTATGCTCAAAAACCCGAATCACGCATTGGGTCTCGCCGCTCCGCAGCAGCGCTCTGGCTTCAAGCTTCAACGTTTCGCACGGGTGCACGCGCGTGAAGCTTCACTGCTCGCACCGGTATGCTCAGAGAAACGGCTAGCGCGTCAGAGCATCCCGTCAGTTCGATGGGTTCGGCAATTTTTCTCACTATTGCAAGCCAGCCCTCTTTGTTTATGTTTACAGTTTGACCCCTAATGCTAAAGGACAGTGCAGGAACAGAAAACATCAAGCTAGATACAAATAACTAAGGTAGTCGATGCTTTTGCTCGCCATCCTTTAAAATATTTTCCCCAACTCGTCTTATCAGAACCTTTTGTTCCATTCATACAATAAAACAACTTATTTTAATTTTAATGTTTTTTTCTTCAAAAATGTTTACCTGTATTTATGTATAGTACATATATATGTTTAATTAACATGAAATGTAAAAAAAAAATATTCGTGGTCTATAATAATATAATTCAATTCGAAGCTCAATACTAACATTTCAATTTGGTTTAGGCTTAAATATTAGATATTTGTACACCTCTAAACATCGGTGAATAAAGAAGTAAATAAAAGTAACAAAGGCTCGTATAATGGTTGTCAAACCAGATTAAGCGGAAAAGGAGAGAAGGCTACTGAAAAAGCACGTGCATCCATGTGATTTACATCTACTTACCTCCTAGGCAGGAATGGCCGTACATTTTGCAGCTATCTGTAAAAAGAAAGAAAAGCGGAACTCACGCTGGAGGTCACTCTGGCATTGCAGAGTGAACATTTTCTGGTCTGCAAGCTTTCTTAAGTCCAAATCAAAATGTTTGGTTATTAGTGATTAGTATATGTTGATAACCAAATTTATTATTTCAATTATCTAATGAAGTTCAGCCATACACTGCTCACACCTATTAATCAGTATAGCAACCAAAATGTTTCTAAATGGACAGATTCACAACGAATAGTAAATAGTAAATTTTAAGAGATAATTAGTAAATAGCAATTAATAAATACCATAGTAACTAGTAAACGCTAAATAGTAAAATGTCAATGGTTTCCAACCGTCTGCTTTAACTGTTCGATAATCTCTTTTGATGAACTGTGTTATGTGTTCATTACTTTAAGTTTTTCGTCTATTTTCACTGTGTTTTACTTAGATGTACGACAGCCTAAACAATTTAAGCTGTTTTAATCAGTTTTTCTTCAGCCCTTTCGATATACAAAATGAAAAATTGAGTTTAATATTAAATTTTTATTAGGGCGCTTCACGGTGTAAATACATGCAGTGAAAGATTGGACTGAACACGTACTCCGCAAACGCAAAGGTCAATGAAGACCCGAAATGTGCGATACGTCAAAGAGCACGTGTATCAAAGCAGGGGCAGGGCGTAAATATCTGTGCATGGCTTGCACTACCGTTACATTGACTGTCATTATGGTGGTCTTTCTGATAGGCGCGCACCTTCTGTGTCATATATTTCGGGCCACTGAACATGTTCTCCTCGCAAGAACAAGCAAGAATGACCACCAGAATTGCGCAATGACTTCCTGTGTAGTCCACCTTGATGTTTGGAATAAGAGATAACATTCATTTGCTTACTAGTATTGCAATAAATGGGTATTTTGTTTAAACGCGCCCCTTCACGTGCATTAATATAGCTACCTATTTTCAAAATAAAATATTTTAAATGTGTTATTGCAGCAATAACATGACGCCTCCCGTTTTTCACAAAATGGTTGCAACAATTTGTGCATACTCGTTCAAAACTCTCCACAACAATATTTCATTTTTTCTATCTATCTCTTTCTTTCTTATTGTAAAAGTTTTCCATAATTATTCAGCACATAGCTGCGGCATAGGCAAGAAAGTACGGCCAGGCTTAGGTTTGTTTAATTTTTCCTTCCACTCGCAGTTCTCAAATTCGGTGCGAATTTGCGGGTGTCCCGAGTTTAATTTGAAAATTTTGTTCTCTGGCATTTTAGTTTTGTATGGGTTCACTAATTTTACTTAATTTCTAAAAGTTCATTAATTGTTTACTGTAAATTAAAGATGTTTTTATGCAAAAAGTTTTTATCTAAAACTACAAGTCTTCAGTCAATTTGCTCCTGTTAACATGTTTGGAATTATTTTGTCCCCTGCTTTTCACTTATTCGAAAGTTTACCATTTTTGACAGACATATGAATTCCTACAGTACAAGTCCTGAATATATTACCTGATGGACAGTGGCCCTCGTTTGAAAAGTTAATAAATCATTCTACAGTACCTGTGACAGCCATTTGTTACATTTTTATTCATACCAAACAGCATATATTTTTAACAAAATCAATGGGAACAGTAAAATAGATCAAACAAGAATTTGTGTACCTTGCGCATTATAAAATGATTAAGTAAAATGTAATATTATTCATCACAAAATGCAAACTAAAAACATTAAACAGGCGTTTATGGCCATTGCATGTCCGAAAGAAACGATCTTATTCATTCCCATTGGTTTACTGCCCCAAATATGACACCTCTCTTCCGTCGAGTGTTTATTCTCTTTTCACTATGTAAACTGATTCAAAGTTTACCTGTGGTTAGGGTATTTTTTATAAATATTGTACGCTATATTAACTCTATGATCTTATTGATAGCAGTGCAAACGAGAACAAGCTGATGAAGCTCGATTCTTTATAACGCCTTAAAGCATGACTGGAACAAGTTTATACTAAGCTGAGTTGGAGATTATTATCCCGTTATCTGCTTCGTCATTGCGTTTTGCATTATACTTGGATTGCATGCTAAAATGTATCATCAGACGTAAAATGACGTGATAGGTGATCCAATGTAAAACAGTGTTTACTAAGAAACGTAACACAGTATTTAATTGAATCTGCGCTGATCACCATATAACTTCCTTTCAAGAGTATTTGCACATTGAACTGCTCTCCAATATGCTAAACAAATAAATACCGGAATCTATGAAAGATAGTGCTCCTAACCTTTGTTCTTTTCTTTTTGTTTTTGTAATAAGCATGCAGACGTTACAGGAAAATTGGAGAAGAAACGTAAATGTCGGACGATGGGCATTCTAACGAATATGCTGCGGCGTGTACCCATATTACAAAATTAAAACATGAAGAATAAGGTTGACAAAGATAAAAAAAATCAGTAACTGCAATGCGAAGTCTCAATAAACATGTTTATCGTGTCTTGTCTCAGTTCAGTTCTAGGTTTTCACTTCGTATGACCTTACCGGCGCTTTATCGCGCAGTTTATATCGATTCGCCTGACCAAATGTATTCCTTGGGTCGTTGAGGATATGAAAAGCTTTCAATTTTGTTCCTAGCTCCGTGGGATAAAGAAAAACATGAACTAATTCTAATACTCTTCTTCGGGTTCCTTTGTCCTGTGAAAAGCTTCCTGGTCACCAAAGGCGTAATTTTAAGATAAAATATACAGTTTCTATTGGACTTCCAGTAATGGAAGCACTCTCCTTGAATGTTCTGAATACTAATAATAATATTATTTCATAGTGACTGTACTGCTTGTCAGACCTTCCATGCAAAAGAGGCATGCGATTCTGGTGATTATATTTTTACCTTTATCTGTTGATAATGTATTTAGAAGCTAAAACATGTGCGTCTGAAATCTTCGAAGTAAACAGTTTGTTTTCATCCTTTTTTTTTTGCATGTATTTTAATTATTATAATAAAAGCGCTTTCGTTCGGGATTAGTGTCAGTAAAATACTCCGTTGAATTCACACATTCAAACTCACCCTTTTTGTTTAATTAAAGAAAAGTGATCACATGCTTGAAAAAAAGAAAAACATACATGCGAGCATTCTTCTTATTTATGTAAAACGCATACAAACCTTCAGGCATCGTAAACATAAAAATCAACTGAAAACATTTAAAGTATGACAACTATTGCGTGCGACCTTCCAGTACATACATGTGCAGGGATGTTCTACTATGAAATAGGTGCATCCAACCCTAATAAAGACTTCTACAATAATTAGAACTCGCGTATTTAACATGCTTACTTATCTGATTTATTTTTATCAACGCTGAATTAAGGTAACGGAGTAACATACTTTCAGGTATTTGTATTTCACGCGTGTATAGTCGTGAAAGTTTTAATAGTACTGGGCACCTACTAGTTGAGGTACGTGCGCTGCCTAGTGGTAGACCCCGATACTATATTTCCGGAAAGTGCAGGCATGGAACATCACGCGCGTCCATTCTTTCACATCGTAACAAGCGGGAAAGGAGGATCCCATGCTTCTCCCGAAAGGCACTCAATCACATGACTTTTCGTCCTGGTTGGGCGTTTAAACTCTAAAAAAAATTTGTGCGTCTACTTTCCCGCACAACATTCGGAGAGCCAATCAGCACAACTTACAGAGCCAGTTCAGCGAATGACGATGCCGAAACATATGTTTAGACAAAAAACGCAGTCTGAGCTGTGACATTAAGCAATGCAAAACGTCACGCTTGCATTGCTTTACGTCACAACTCAGTCTGCGTTTTTTGGTCTAAACATATGTTTCTGTATCGTCATTCGCTGAGCTGCCTCCGTAAGTTGCGCTGATTGGTTCTCCGAGTGTTATGCGTGAAAGTAGACGCACAGGCTTTTTTTAGAGTGTAGAGAGTGAACGCTGCTTGCTTAACTCTAATTTATTATTTTGCAACCGGGAGTGCCTGCAGAAAAAGCATGGCGGGCGTAGTTAATTATGCATATCAGGGACAGGTTTGCTGTACACAGTATTCAGGGAAAGTAGAAAATGCTTGCCCCTTCAACATCATCGTTTTATGATGAAAGATTGAAGTCTGATGGTAGCCGTGCCCCTCCTCTACGCCGTTGGGTGTTCGGGCATGACGTGCAGTGCAATCGTGCTCTTGGGAGGTGCTCGTCAAATTTAGGCCGCACTTACCAGGCGAAGGCTGCCCACCAGACGCCTCCCGTCGGCGATCTGGGACACACGTGGGGAACATTTGGTTTCCTCGTTAAATATTTAATATTCTCCCCCGTACATTTGAGTCTTTCCACGTCTCTACCAAAAAAAAATTTTTTTTTTGCGTAGTGGCAAAAATAGTATTTTGTCACGTTGTGAGGCCCATCGAAGCGTTTACACGTTACCTGCACTAATCATGGCAGAACCCTGGCTTGCACCTGGACCAACGTCAGAAGTGTCCTGCAGCGATCGTCGTCGTTGTATATGCTGTGATAAGTTCCGCTGACATGTCGCGCTTCTAGCCAGGCTCACAAAAGAATTGACGACGGAAATAACTAATCCAGAACTGTGATACTGCTCATCATTTATGTATGACGTGCTTCTGTATACATATTCATGATAAATCAACGCTCTATTCATGAACACAGTTGTGAAATGTTGTCCACAGCAATTAAACCAGTAAAAAGCTTATGCTTAAGAAGTTCCCGACTTGTTTATTAAAAATAGATATATTCGTTCATTCACTATGCAACCTTCTTGCAAATGAGGCTTTGGAATTAATTAAAAAAAATATTCCAACACACTAACAAATATTAAAGTGCAATGATTCACCCTCGATATAAGGGTTAGGTAAGCCGAGGCACGTGGTCAGAGAACGATGAAACTACTTTAAAGAAATAGCAAGTCCAAGTTTCAATAATCACTTTGTTATTCCCCGATAAAAAAATTAAAAAAAAAACACTAAGAAAGTGAAATATCCCGCTTCAGCATCCTGAGTTCTC